GTCATGTGAAATGTGGAAGATGATGATTTAAGTTTTTAAAGTTAAGATTGATTTAGTGAATGAAGAAAAGGAACTTAGGAAGCTGATTCTTTTATTCATTTATATATTAGAGAATTTTGGGATATGAAATCAAAGAGCAAAAAGTTGGTTTGAGCTTGAAAAAAATTAGTATATGTAAGGTGTATGATACTATACTTGTTAGAAGAAGCTTTATTTGATTTTCATACATTTTCTTTTTAGATTTCATTGATTCTTGTAAGTGGTATGCCCAAATTGAGTACTATTGCTCTATGAACCTAATTTGGAGATTCAAAAGGAAATTTGACTAGGAAATTTATATTAAACTATTTGAGTTCTTGTGGAAAGTATTTGGAAGTTGCCAAGGAGACTTAACTATGAAAAAAAATGTGATTACTTGAATTCTTGGATATGGATGGCTTGTTGATGAATTACTTAAATGCTAGAGTTTTATGAGTGGTTTGGAAATGATATATATATATATATATATATGTATGTATGTATTTGGTGTTTTGATCAAATGCTAATGATAATTTTTAAGAGTTAAGCCTTGATATTTAAAGTTTCACATGCACCATAATTTAATATTAGTAGTAATGATGTTGAAAAAGGAACTATTATAGTGGTTAAATATTTAGTAAAAAATTTAATATGATTTATTGGGTATTTAGAAAAAGAGGAATTTGATTGAAGTTGAAAGAGAAAATTTGAATTCTAAGAATTTCAGGTAAGTGAATAATGTTCCAACTAATTTACCAACAGAATCTCTTTTACTGAAATATTATATTTTTATATAAATTATTTTTAATTATTATGAAAAGTGTTGGGTACTTTAGTTAAATTATTTTATCCTATGAAATGTGACAAAGAATAATTAAGTTATGGCATGTACATGTATTTTTTTATAAATTATATTTTTAAGATAATGAAATTATTTTGACTAGTTTTAAAAATTTTGGTTATCATGTAAATGCAAGAATAGATGTTATTTATAAAATTTTATTTTTACAAATATTAAATTGATGCTTAAGGTAATTCATGCGAGTATGGTAATAAGAATGAAAGTTGTATTTCAAAAATGTTTATTTTTCCTCGCATATTTGAAAAAAGATTTTGAGAAGACTTGAAGCAGAACATTGTTACTAACGACAGTTTTGTTAGCCTTTGGCGCGCTATGATTAAGAATTAACTAGTTTGATTTTCATGAGTATTATTCTCACATTTGTTATTCGTGAGTCTTATACCTACATTTGTTTTGTGGCTTCGACCATATTTGATTAGTTACCTTTATGGATCGTGTGTCTACGTCTGTTCTATGACTTCAACCACGCCTGGTTAGTTACCTTTATGGATTATGTGTCCACATCTGTTTCTTAACTTCGATCACATGTGGTTAGTTATCCTCATGGATTGTGTGTCCACATCTGTTTCATGGCATCAACCACATCTGGTTAATTACTCTCATAAACTATGTCCACATTTGTTTTGTGGCGTTAGCCGTGTCTGGTTAATTATCCCATGAACTGTGTCCATGTCTATTATCTGTTATGTAAAGTCCTCATAAATAAATTAATTTTATCGGATTTGTGAAAAATAAATTTCATTGTTTTTAATTAATAAATATTTATATGCTGATTTAATTATTTAATTTACTTGATTCCTTATAGTTAGGTGACAAATTGTTTATTTATTTAGACATTAATGATTCAATATTTGTGAAGTAATTAGGATATTTAAATTCTCAAATTTAGTGGCTCCTTGTAAATTTGTTTATCATTATTAGAATATATCCATTTACATTTTTTTGACTTTATTATTGAGACGTTATTCATTGAAAATAATTTTAGTCACAAACAGTGTTGCTGATGGTGAACCATCTATTGAGCATTGAGGAGTCCATTATTGACTAGAAGTGGAGAAGCTAAGAATTACATTTCTTTTGATGTAAAGCTTTAAATTATGAAATTTTATTTTGTAAATTCATTTATAGGTGCTTCACATAGTTTATAGTTAGGTTATTTATTTTGTTATATATATATATATATATATATTCTATTGTTGGCTAGAAAGAGTTGAACTCCTGATAAAAAAATGATATTTTGTGTAAAAATATTGTATTGTAAAATTTTCAAGAGATCCTATTTGTAGAGGAGATTCTGTCAAAATTTTTACAAAAATATTGAAGCTTTTATTAACATCAAAAATGTTTACACATGTTTTAATTCAAACTAAAACATAATTACCCAATTGGAGGTGTGGTGGTTCACATCCTGTGTTGGTCATCCTTTATTTTGTGGAGCGTGACACCTCAAATGTGAATCTACAAGTTCTCCATATCAAACCTAACAATCCTCAAGTCTTAGAATAGCCCAGTTCTTGATTTCAAATGGTGTGTAGTCATTTTTGAGACTCAAATGTATACACAATAATGAGCTTTCAGGTCCCAAACAAAACCAGGTACTTATATTACTTGATAGAAATGGAGAGTGACCGCTCAAGAATGAGGAGAAGAAGAGATAGGCAAAAGTAACAATAGGATATCATATCTTAACCCAAAATATCAAAACTTAAGTTTATAGGCATTTTTTTTTATTATATATTAGTTATTAAGTCTAACTTTATTCGATGTGAGAACTTCCCACATCTTTTTATGTCCATTTGCACTTGGACAACCCAATACATTAAAATCCATTTGTTTTTATTAAACTGGATAAAAGTAAATTAAATATATACAACTAAGTATCTAGGTGTTGCCCAAATAATAATTAACCACCTAATAGGAGTTGGGTTTAGTAGAAGATATTAATATCTCATAACATGGCTAACTAATGTTCGAATTTTAACCAAGAGAGGTATCTATATTTAGTATCTATTAATTACTATGTTTTTTTTTAATTTACCATCTCATAAATCCATATAATAGAAAATGTTCATTTGCCAAAATTTTTATTATTTTTCTTTGATATGCATGGTTAAAGTATATTCATACAACATCAATAAGCACTGTCCTACTAGGTAAGATTGGTTACTTTTATGCACAACACCATTATGCTAATTAAAGTATATTGATACAACGATTTAAAAAAAAAAATCATTGTATTCTTTAATAACTGTAAATATAGAATTCCAATTCTAGATGTTTAATTCTTCATGCCCCGTGCATCGTTCGGGGATTCATTCTTTATTTATTTATTTATTTATTTATTTATTTATTTATTTATTTATTGGATAAAGTTTCGGGGATTCATTCTAGTTAATAAAAATAAAAGAACTTTGAAGGACCATTAGTAGAAAACAGACGCTCACCTTGTCCTTGTCTGTCTTTCTGCGGTATTGGGTTTTCCTCTGTCGGTGGCCTCGAAAGTTGAAACTTGTTCTTTCACTTGGGGAGGATAAGACTTGACTGAACATTCTCCATGTTTGTTTCTTGTTAATACATGCAAAATTCACAATTAACTATGATCCAATCTGGTTAGTCACGTATTGCTTCTATAATTTTATTTCCATATCATTCCAATCCCATTCCAGAAGCCTGTTCAGGCTCTTCCACTCTTCTTCCCCAAAAGCTTCTCTCTATCAAATGTTGTCATAAAATTGACATAAATACGGCAAACTTCTTTTGGGGTTAGAAATTAAAACTGAGAACAGAAGGAAGATTACTTAATGAGAGGAGCAATGATAGAGTCAGTGTCGAATCACCTATGAAAACCAAGCCCAAATCCCCTCACAGCCCAAGTCCAACCACCACTGACTTAAAAAACTAATGGTTTTGTCAACAGTTGATTCTAGAATATCCTTTCCTGATTTGTGATGTACACGCATCACCATCACACTGCTACTCCCACTGTATAAATAACCATTCACTGTATTAAGCAAAGCAATAGAGAATATCAAATGATTTCAGACATTTTCTGTGTTTTCCTTTTCGTTCTTTAATTCATCAGGATATTGGCGGCTTGGTTTTCAAATCCACAACCTCTACTTGCTAAATCTATGTGGATGCTTTTCACAGCTGAAGACAATTTGATTTCTCAATTGGTTCTCGAACCCAAATATCTTCATTTTTAGCAGGATGCTGAGATTCATAACCGCTCATCTAAGTCTTAGATTTAGAAATCCATTAAAACACTGAAAAGCTTGGGTGGAGAATTGGTAATGGATTTAATATTTAATTATTGAACCATATAGCTGACCCACCTAGTAGGATAGTACTGGATGTTGTTGTATTAAATCACACCATTAGTAGCCTATGCAACCAGAGTGCCCAACAATTTTAATCTTAATCATGACAGGATATATAATACTTCATGATGTAGGTACTCGGAACCATGAGCTCTTGAAACCATTCTAATCAAGCAACGCAGAAGATTCCACTTTAAAGATTCCATTCTCTTTGAATAATCAGAAGGATCAGCTCATTTGGCACAGCAAAACAACAGGGGACAGTTTATTTGGAGGCAGATTGGGGAAGATTCAGCCTCTAAATGAGCCATATAGAATTCAATTATTCACGTGGAAAGTTCTTGAAACTGCTCTGCCCTAACTAAAGCATTAAAGGATCATCACCTGCAGCTATAAATAGGGTGTGGATTTTGCAACGATCCATGCAAATCCAGAGAACATCTTTTGCTTTTTTTGGCAGTGTGGATTGGTTCATCTTTGGGTCTAAACACAGATTTGGCTGACTGTGAAGATATAGCAGAATGGCTTACCAGTATCCTTAATGGTTTCAACTTGAGATTTCCTCTTATATCTGTAATATTTTGTACCCTACTAGGTGCTTTAGAAATGATGTCACTCGCAGTGGTGTCAATTAATGATGGCATTGAGATGCGCATTAATATTTGTGAAGTTTAGTACCGTTCAGAAAGATAGCTATAGCATAATATTTAGCAATATTCAACCTCCGCCTCTTCAACAGACTTTAGTCTGTAACTTTATCTGTCAATAGTTACGTAATAATATTGTAGTCTCACATTATTTTAAAAAGATTACACGTTAGTATGGGTAAACAAATTGACCCCATTATTTCAAAAACTCTACCTAGTTTCTATGATAAATGCCTCGGGAAATGAAACATTAGATTTACCATTACCGAACCCATACCCTTTTGGTTTCAGGTAAAGCATAAAGCCACTAAGGTGTGATGACATAACATTCTTTCCTTCATAAACAGATATTTCCAATTCACAAATGATAATGCATATTAGAAAAATAAACCATTCATCTCATTGAATTTACAACCAAACATGCTTACCTATTGGAAAAACAATCTTTCTTTTGCAGCACAAACGAAAAATTTGGTGTAGTTTGATTCTCCTGGACCTACAATACATGAAAGTGGGAAAAAATTAATAATAACCCAGAACCATGTTATGGAAGCTAGTAGGAAATATGAGCTCACCTTATCCCATTTTGTGTTATTGAGTTTTCCGTTATCAACACCCTTGAATTTTCTCAAGATCTTCATGGGCGGTTCATTAGGAGGAGAAGCAATTGCTCTTCGTTTCTGTGAAGTTATAGGAACATTCATGGAAAGTATAGATGACTTGAAAAGGACATTCTCCATGTTTGTTTGCTGTTTGTACGCATACACTCCACAGTTAACTATAGGCATTTCTGGTGTTAACTTTATGACTTCTTTTTTCCTGCGGGGAGTCAAACGTAGGACCTCTACTGCCACATCATTCCAATCCAGCTCCAGAAAACTATCAAGCCTCTCCCACTCTTCTGGCTCAAAAGCCATTTTTATATCAAATAAAAACAGATGGCCTTGCCTAGTTCCATAATTTGCAGCATTTGTCTCCTTTGTGTTTGACGACCATTGACGCTCAAGGAAACATGGACAAAGTGTTTCTCACTCAAGTTTGCTTTCCCAACTCAAAAGCAAAGGCAGCATGAGGGAAATTCCCACGAGCACAAAAAGACAATGTCCCTCCTTTACAGCATATGCTGAAACAATCAATCAGGAAATGTTGTTGGTGGCATAGTAATGTTCAAGTGATGGAACTCCTTTCTTGCCTGATTTACCAGAAAAGAGCCCAAAGGCATTTTCAGATCTGGAAACAACATATAAGAGAATTAAAAAAAAAAATTCTCACTTTAATCCCTAACAGATAGGAGCATTTTCAATTTAATCATTTATAGATAGTTTCAAATAAGTCAATCCTCCATTCATTAAAATGTTTTAACTTAATTTTGGACCTAACAGACTGCTAACATGTTCTTAACCTTCGCTGATAATAAACTTCAATGATGACTTGAGTTCATGAAGCAGTTCATAACTAGTGACATGCAAGCGGAAAAGTTCAATTCAGAAATCTAATGACTCGTACATTATTCTGCAGATAGAGATAGAAAAAGAAAAAGGGGAAAAAAGATTCTACAAGAAAAAAAATTTAGTAATGAGAAATAATAAATATGGCTAGATAATAGAAGGATTTCTTTTGAAAAAGTTTCGGTCAATGCACAAGAAATGAAATCATGGTTGTTTGGAGAAAATAGAAATCCATATGCCAAATGAAAATTACCAGTATCTATCTGAGATCTGACCATCAGACCAGCATTTAATTTGATTAACTTCAAAATGGCAAAAGAAAGATTATAGAAAGAAAAAAATGACAAAAACCTGAGACCATAAATGGCCTACTGACCCTGTAGATAATTATATGCAATTCTCAGCCTCTATATTTTCCAATTTTGATGGCAACTCTGGTATGTCTCTTGGCCTCTTGCAGTTTATTCAATACTAGATTCCGCATATTAGCACACTCTATAATGCACTCAGGAAGGGACACAAAGTCACTCCCTGATAAAATTAACTCTTGCACATTCCAAAAACAATTTAGAGCTAGGTGAAGATCTTCAAGCAGTAGACAACAATTTTCGAGATTCAACATCTTCAAGTTTGAGCGGCTAATAACTGGTTGGTTCTCTTGCAATGATTTCTTCAAAGATTTTCTGCTCGGAGGTTGAATGCCTCTTAAATTAAGCCAACTAAGGCTTTGCAACGTGAATAAGCTGCTTGGAAGCTCCCTAAGACTTTTGTGGGAGCTTATAACTAAAGATTCAAGCCTCGGAAGATTTCCAATAGAAGGAGGGAGCTCTTTAATTGCAGTGTCTTCTGCATAAATTGTCCTCAGTGCATCCATCTTTCCCACTATATGTGGGAAGTGGTCAAGGCTCCTGCAATATCTGAGATGAAGCTTTTGAAGAGATGTCATCTTGATTTCGTGTGGACAGCCTGTAAGATTGGTGCATCTACTAAGATTTAATTCAACCAGCTTACACAGAGATCCAACCGAGTCATGAACTTTGATTAGATTGTGACATCTTTTGAACAACAGTCTTCTTAAATTTTGAAATTGAGACATATCAGGTACTTCAGTTATGAATTTGCAGTATGAGAAATTCATATACGTTACACATTCAAACCTCTGCCAAAAAAAAAAACTAAATTATTTAATTAACAGTAAAGTTTCTGATTAAAAAAGATGAGAAAAGAATAACAGGAAAGTCTTGCAGATCCAGGAAATACGAGAAGTTGATGTAATTTAATCTTGATTCTTGGTAGAAAAGTATAGCTAAAGATGATCAAAAAATAATAATAAAGTGAAAAAAATACCTTGAATGACTCTTCCATTCTGAAAAGTCTACCAGATAATTTGATGAAAACTAGTTTCTTAGGAGAAAAATCTGGTGGCAAAGTTGTAGGAGGATATCCCGCCCAATCAAGCAATCTTAAACTACTTGGAAAATACTTTGGGTAGCTGAAAATTGGGAATTCCGGACCACAAGAATCCTAAGATTACTCATCTTCTCAAAAGCCATACCACTCCACTCCACTTCTTCTTGTTGAGGCGGATCAAGCATTATTCCTTCAATATTACCGCTTTCCTGTAATAGAAGTCCAACGAAATAATAGTTAGATATTGCAAAATAGCACAATAGCTAAATGCATATGGCTATATGAAGAAACAGACAAGATTTAGATCCTTACTAGATTTTCACGCAATACTTTGAGAACATCTTTGTAATGCCATAATCTACTGCATTTACAAGGATTTGACGGTGCCTCCTGCCTAATAATCTCTCTACCCATTTGCTGTATTAGATCATGCATGCCCAAGTTACCATTATCAGCAACAGTTACAAGAGATTTGTCAACAAGAACTTCAATATAAGACCTTGCACCAAAATCATAAGCCGCTAGTTTTTCTTCAATAGTTTCCAATACCTCCTCTTTAAAGAAACAAGCAACATCTAGAAAAATACGCTTAGCACCATCTTGTAAGCAATCATAGCTTATCTGTAATAGCCTTAAACAATCTATATATATATATATACTTATTGAATTAATTATATGAATATATTTTAGTTATGTTAGGGATAATTATAACAATAAGGAGTATTGGTAGAATGGAAGAATGTATGCCAAGTAACTGAAGGTTTCCAGTTCGAATCCCTGATGCAACAAAAAGGGAATTTTATTTTTTTTTCAACTTCTTTGAAATTACGAAATTGCCCTTTTCTAAAAATGATAAAAGCTTCCTTCTCTTCCTCGGCGATTCCAGAAAAACAGAGAGAGAATGAGAGTCTGAGAATATGACCGACTTAACCTTCCTATACCTCTGATCTTTTCTTGTTTTAGAGATCACCGACTCATCTTCCTTGTTGTTCACGGTGGTGGCCGGTGCAGTCGAAGCTAAAGTTTCTCTAGTTTGTTTTTTTTCTCTGTGTTCCCTGTCCTTATTATCGTTCTCTGTCTGTTTCTGGCTGTCTTCATTGAGTTCGGTCGCTGCTCGGTTTCTATCGTCAGTTGGGTTGCTGCCACTGTGAGACTTAGTCGTTGGAGCTGGATTCATGATTCTTTTCTTTCCCAGCTCAACTGTGAGCTTTATGCTCTGTTTTACCGTTACGTGTTCCCTGTTTCTGCATTTTTCCGTATGCTGTGCAGTCCGTGTGTTTTGAGCTGAAAAATCCCAAAGCATCAAAACAGAGTAGAGCTATTATTGTAAGCTTGTATCGGTGCTGTGGAGTCAAGCTCCTTTCGTTGCTGTGAATCGTGACAGTGTTTGGATTATATCTTCCCTGTTCAGCCGACTGTTTCAATTTCTTCATCCTGGTTTTCTGTTGTGGTGAGTCAAGGTGAGAAGGCTTCACGTTTAGGCTTCTTTTACTCAGTATATATGTGAACCGGTAACAGAAAAGAATTTGGCTTCTCTGTGACTGTTATGGCTATACGTGGCTGAAAAAAAAAGGGGAGAGAGAGAGAGGAGTATATATATTTTGCATGCTTCTTGTTACCATTATGCCGTGCTGTTATAGGAAGGAGAAGATTCAAATTTAAGTTGGAAGTTTGTTTAAAGACTTGCTATTTATGTGTGTGTGGTCTGGGTCATAATTTTATGGGCTAAATGGATTTGAGTTAAATTGAATATGATTAAAGAAACTATTAAGGTAAGGGAGGAGGAGAGTGATTTGGATAATTAATTTAATTAAGTAGAATTTATGCACCTCAAGTAATTGGTGCAAAACCTATAAAAATAAATGTATATATATGGGGAAGGTTGCAAGTATGAAGGATAAAGTTTGGTGGGAGAAGTATATAAGTATACAAGCTATGGAATCATGAATGGATGGTTTAACTAAAACGAAATTGAGGGGGGGACTAGTGATGTTAACGATAACACTTGGATCAACTCTAATTATGATGGTGATTGATTTGGAATTATGTTAAAAATTTCATTTTTTATTTATATATTTATTTATTTATATTCTAATAGGGTGCGCAGAAGAAAGGGAACCTGACCAAAATTGAAAGAAAGGATATCTTTAAAAATTTTGAAGCTCCGACGAGTAAGTGAATAGCATTCCATTTAATATTTTATCTTTATTTTAATAGCCTCTTCCTGAATTATTTTTCTTATGAACTATATTAATTATGAAAATTATAAGATATCAGTGAAAGATAAACGAGTTATGATATATGCATTCATTGATTCTTACAAAGATATTTCCAAGTTTGATGGAAGTAATCTTGTATGATTGTTAAACTTTGAAATTTATTGGATACTCGATTATTACAAATTTATGATTTTGACAAACGTTGAGATTTGGCACAATTCATGCGAATTTGATTTTGAAAATGACAATTTAAATTCAAAATAATCATTTCTCTCGCATGTTGAAACGGGATTTCTAAGAGAACTTCACACAGAACACTGTTGCTAGCGGCAGTTCCGTTAGCCCGTAGCGCGCTGTGGTTAAACACTAGCTAGTTTGTTCGTGAGTTTTATTCTCACGTTTGGTATTCGTGGGCTTCGTACCCGCGTTTGATTTCGTGGCCTGAGCCACGTTTGGTTACTTACCCTCGTGGGCTGTGTGTCCACGTTTGATTCGTAGCTCCGGCTGCGTTTGGTTATTTACCCTCGTGGACTGGTGTGTCCACGTTTGTTTTCGTGGCATAAGCCGCGTTTGGTTATTTACCCTCGTGGACTGAGTGTTCACGTTTGTAACCTGTTCTGTTGAGTTCTCAAAATTTTAAATGTTGATTAATATATGTTTTCAAAATTTATCCGGTGTTGACTAGTAATTTGTATTACTTCGAGTTATATGAGAGCAAATGGTTTCTTTAAGCATGAGAACATAAATTGTTCTCTACTTATTCTTATTTTTCAAATATGATTATAACTTATATGCTTATAATTTTAGTGGAATTACTTTCAATTATTTGACACCATTATTAGAGACTGTCAATTTAAGTTTTAAGAATTTTATCATGGGAATGCTATTCACTGGAAAAATTATTTGGCTTCAGATTGGTTAGCTGACGCCGATTCTACCAGCGACCTCAAAAAGGGCAACCAGCTACAGTGGGTGGATATTTTGATTGGTATTATTGTCTTTATGTAAATATATAATTTGTATGTCCTTTTGATTTGAGAGAAAGAATAGATGCTCCACATAGGTTGTTGATAAACTTTATTTTTGGATCTGTATATGGGTTGTTGGCTGGAAGGAGCTACGCTCCTGATTTATACTGTTATCTGTCAGAATTTTGTTGTAGAATTTTTGGGAGATCCTAGTTACAGGGGAGGTTCTGCCGAAATTTCTACAAAAAAAATATCGACACTTTTTTTTATGATATTGAATCTAATAAGTTATTTTAATTCTCATAGGATTTGATTAAATTTTGTTCCTTTCTTTTGTAAAATGAAATCAAGGTTTATTTTAAGGCTTACGGGAATGTGTAAGTGACTCATACCCGTGCCGGTCACCCTCTATTTTGGGGCGTGACAGTTTTGGTATCAGAGCCAAGGTTTTTACATATAAAACTATGTGGAGCAGAAACTTGCCAGTGAGGTTTCAATTATCATTATGAACCCGGGCATAATTATAATTGAGACATCATTGGAAGTTCTATAGGAAGTTTTCAAACGATGTTTGTTTTTTTTTTGTTATTGACTTTTTATTATATAAAGGAATTGTATTTTGAATTAAATATTTCTTTTGTTTCTTGATATAGTGAAATATGCCACCCAGACGTCGAGTATCTACCAGGAGCTCCACTAGCAGTAGAGCCTCTGGTAGAATTTCTCCGACAGATGATATGCCCTTGAGAGGTAGAGGACGGCGTCAGAGTAGGATCAGGGCTAGGGGTGGTCGAACCCTTAGGCCCCTTCAAGATATTCCTTCTAGAAGTGATCGAGTAAGTTCTCAATCTGAAGAACAGACAGTCCCTTCAACAAATGATACCCCAGAGGAAAATCCTGTAGTTAAGTTATCGGAGTTTATGAAGCTAAACCCATCATCTTTTTCGGGAACCAATGCACGGGAGGACCCAATTGAGTTTCTCGAAGGAATTGAGAAGAGATGTAGGGCCTTGAGATGCCCTGATGCTCAGTATGTTGAATTTGCAGTGTTTCAACTTCAAGGGGTAGCAAGTACTTGGGCAAAAACAGTCCCAAGTTTGCATGCAACGAGAGCACCTTCTTTAACCTGGGAAGAATTCAAGACTACATTTCTGAATCGTTATTTGCCTCAGAGCACTAGAGACGCAAAAGTTGAAGAGTTTCTGACTTTAAAGTGTAGTAAAGGAATGTCTATAGCAGAATATGACCAGAAGTTTACTGAATTATCCTCTTTTGCTCCTCATATTGTACCGACTGAAAAAGAACGAATTAGCAGATTTGTACAAGGATTACCAGTCGACATACATGACAATATAGCACCTATGTTGAGTCGTGATATCACCTATGCAGAGATTGTTGATAGTGCATTGAGAATTGAGAATCGACATAAGGCAGAGGAAGTAATTTCTAAGAAACGCAAGAGGGAGCATGATGAGAAATTTCCCGGTTCTTTTTCCAAGAGTCATCAATTTTCAAGTCAATCTCACTTTCATGCCTCACAATCTAAGCCTAGATCATTTGGTTCACCATCAGTAAGCACTCCCGTTGTGAGACCAAATTCTAGTAATGTGAGACCTCGAGCCCAGTCAGTGCCGAATCAATCGGGTTATGTTAGAGTCCCTTGTAATAGTTGTGGAAAATATCATTTGGGACCGTGCTATAGAGTGTCTGGTGCATGTTTTGAGTGTGGACAGACGGGCCATTTGAGAAGAAATTGTCCCTATTTACAGTCTGTGTCAAGCCACGGATCAATTCAACCTTCTCCTCGTCCTACTTCCTCATCAATCCCACCTGCTAGAACTGCTTCTACTTCAGCTAACAGGGGTAAATTTGGAAGGGGAAATGGTCAGCGAGGACAATCTTCCTTAGGACAAAGGCAGGCGAGAGTTTATGCCATGACAAGACAGGATGCTAAAGCCTCAAATGCTGTTGTTACAGGTATTATAACTGTGTGTTCCAATCAAGCTTATGCATTATTTGATCCTGGATCAACTCATTCATATGTGTCTGCTTATTTTGCTAAGAGGTTGAGCAAAGAACCTACCGAACTTGATAATTCATTTGTAGTTGGTACCCCAGTAGGGGAATCTTTAATTGTTTCTCATGTGTATAAGTCTTGTGAAGTGTCTCTTGAGGGTAGAGAAACCCTTATTGATTTGATGATGCTTGATATGATTGATTTCGATGTCATCTTGGGCATGGACTGGTTAGCTTCTTGCTATGCTACCGTTGATTGTCACTTAAAAGTAGTGAAATTTGATATTCCAGGTGAAACTCCTTTTGTATTGCAAGAGAGTTTTATAGAAAGACCTACTAATCTTATTTCAGCTTTAAAAGCCCAACGATTACTACAGAAGGGTTGTCAAGGGTTTTTAGCGG